TTTATGAGTTAGTGACAAATTGGAACTGTTGTATCCCAAATTTGAAACATATCGCGCTTACAGAACCGTATGTATTCATATGTCTTAGGAAGGATTCCATCTTGAAAATCTACATCGTACCGTAGGGCAACTCCATAACGCCTTAGAGACTAATAAATGAACTTAGTGAATGAGATATGTGTTTGGAAAGGCAATTAGCGTAAAAAAATCCGTGCGCCTTTGAAGACAACACTGCCTTCTATTGAACACTGATAAGGAAATACGCCTCCCCATCGGTTGTCAGTTCATCTTCTTCGAGATATGCAAGCAGTCGGCAGTTTGTTCAGCCTACTCATCTATTGGGCTGTGTCAGTTACTCTGGTTCTACTGCGGATATCGCCCTCCATAGCTAGTTGAGCGAGCAATGTGCTTCCTTATACGGCCAGCGTTGAAGGAACACGTTCTCACCAAACAATTAAGCTTAATTTTAAATAATATTAGACTGTATGTATCAAGAAATTGTCTCCTCCACTTAACATTTTAAACAATGGATGTAAAAATTTATAAAAAGTAACTGTTATATAGCTCTCTATAAATGCTTTTAAAAGTGCTCCTTATTCTTCGCAGGATAAGACATACAAGTTTGGTCGAATCCTCCAGAAGTTTAGTACAAAAGTTACTTTAACTGTAAGTGTATCTACTTAGAAGAGCGGGGAAGTGTTACGAGTGGCTATTTGCTTTTAGCGTTATTACCACGTTGTAGTTGTGAGGAATCGTTCGTGATATTTCCAGCCGTCAAATTCTACCATCGTACTCTGCAACACATTTCTAATTTCCAACAATATCATTTGATATCCAGCAATTGACCTCCGTGCCTTCTTTTGTGTTTGTGCGCCATCACCGACCACTTCGTAGAATTAACTGTCGCCAGCGGATGTTCCAGATCGATATATCTTAAGAATCGAATAAAATAGACTTAGTTCTTTTTCAAAAAAACCTTCATATTGTTGCTTACCACCAGGTGAGCAGCATCGTTACTCCCTCGATTATAAATGTATTTATTGATATAGTTACAAACTCAGATTAGGTACAGAAAAAAGTTTAGATTTATAATCCGAGCTTAAAAGCAAAAATGTTATTTATTATTTTAATTTAAGACTGTCATGCACGATATCATAATATAGTCAACATCATCATCATTAGAGCCTAACATAAGTTCACTGCTGAACAATGGTAAGAGTTTTATTTATTTTAAATTATTGGGAAGGTGCTACTGCCCATCTCCCGTTTCATTTCCCTCTGTCGCCACCTAGAATTCACTACCTCATATATCATATCATCATTATCATTACAGCCTTTCATAAGTCCACTGCTGAACATAGGCCTCCGCAAAGAATGCCACAAAGCACGGTCCTGAGCCACCTGCATCCATCGACTTCCTGCATGTCTTACCAGGTCGTCACTCCATCTCGTGGGGGGTCGCCCTACAATTCGCCTACTGGTACGAAGCTGCCACTCAAGAACCTTTCTTCCCCATCGGTTGTCGGTTCTTCGAGCTATATGGCCGGCCCACTGCCACATAAGCTTACTAATCCGTTGGGCTATGTCGGTTACTCTGGTTCTACTGCGGATATCCTCATTCCTAAGTTTATCACGCAGAGAAACTCCGAGCATAGCCCTCTCCATAGCTCGCTGAGCGACCTTGAGCTCCTTGAGACTCGCTCTTGGATCGTTACTCACACTTGTGTGTGGCTCCAACGATGACGTGTACAGCTGCCCATAGAACCTCTCAATCTCACACAAAATCTCAGGTGTCCCGGAAACGATGCTGTCACATTCGGTCTTCAGCTTTGACAGTTGGCTCTTTCTGGCACATAGATCTCTGGCAAAGACTTTGGAGCCTTGGTTCCGCTCGATCGCTTCTTCAATACAAGCTGTATTGAAGTTGCGTAAGTCCCGCCGCATGCATTTGGAGATCTGTCTGTTCAGTTGCCTGTATGCTGTCAAATCTGTTGAAGAATGTAGCTTCATCTCTCGTCTAACATCCATGAGATTAAGAGTGTGATCGGAGAGTTTTTGTGTTCTTCTGCGGCGGGTCTTGCAGAACTTAGCTCCGACCGCATGGACAGTTTTCACGAGCTTGTCATTCTTATCGTCCACTTCATTGCAGTCTTCTAGGCACTGAAAACGGTTTTGTAACTCGAGCTGAAAGGTTTCGGGACTTTGGAACAGAGCACGAGGGGGACGGAGTGTTGACTTCATTAGACGAGACCTCTCCAACTTAACGTTTAGGTTCAGTGTGCCTCTAACCATTCGGTGATCGCTACCAGTTTTCACCCTCGCGATCACGGAGACGTCACTGAACAGTTGTCGTCTGGTCGTCATAATGAAGTCAATCTAATTTTTTATCGAACCGTCGGGGCTCGACCGCCGCTTCTGGAAGAGAGATTTCATCATAAAGAGTTCCTCTTTCTCCATGAAGTCGGCCAGCTGGTGGCCCCTTGGGTTCCGTTGCCCTATTCCAAATTTCCCTACATTCAGCTCACTGTTCTCTCTTGTGCCTAGTTTTGCATTGAAGTCTCCCATTAACACCGTATATTGGGTTTTGGAGGAATGCATGGCTCTAGAGATATCCTCATACATTTCCTCCACCTCCTGATCGGAGTGTGCCGAGGTTGGTGCGTAAACCTGTATGACCTTCAACGAATACCGTTTGGTGATTCTGAGTATAAGGTACGCAACCCTCGTCGACACACTCCCGATCTTTACAACGTTGTTAACGAGAGACTTGTGGACGATATATCCGACACCTCCTTGGGACACATGGTCGCCCTCCCGGTGATAGAGCAAGTTGCCGGATTCGGGGATTACCGTGTCCTCCCCCTCTCTTCGGACTTCGGATAATCCTATAATATGCCGGCGCAAACTTGTCTATCTCTTCTTCCAGCTCCACGATCTTCTCGTCAGTCCTCAGGGTGCGTGCGTTGTACGTTGCCAGGTCGAGTCGTCTAAGGTGGCAACCGAACCTCCACCGGAGATTCTTAGCACCCCCTGCCCCGCCGTTACCATGGTCGCCACCGTAGCCAGGAATAGCGGGGCCGCCGGGGACTGGGGGCCATCTGTTTGTTGCTCTAATCATTGGGGGGTATTTGCCATAGTTGCCACGCTTGGCGAGCGGGTTGGCAACCGCAGTTTTTTTATTGTAAATTTGGCTATTATCAGGAAGGTGCTGCTGCCCATCTCCTGCCTGTTTCCCTTTGTCGCCTTTTACGATACCCACGGGAGGATATGGGGTAGTGGATATTCTTGACCGCCACTACACGGCTTATCTATATATATCATAACATAAGATCAAATAATAAGCCACCACACCCTAAGAGATCCTGCCCTAGTTTCTTTTTAATGTTATTGATTTACACAAATACTCTAGTCTCAAGTCGCGTGATGTAAAATAATTTGTTAGGGACGCACCCGTCTAGACTTGTGTGAGGGTTAATGGTGAAACTGGCCTAATTTAATTTATTGGGTAATTTGACAACATTAAAGAAAATTTTTGTTTTTATCTTTATATATAAAAATTACGTGTCACATTGTTTGTCCGCGATGAACTCCTAAACTACTAAACTGGTTGCAATGAAAATTTGCACACTGTGTGCAGCTTGGTCGAACTGGAGAGATAGGATAGTTTTTATCCCTATAAGTGACCCGCAATATTTTTTTATTACGAATTTAAGAATTTTATAGGACACAGGGTCGTCGGAGAGGGCAGAACAACGTCTGCCAGGCCAGCTAGTTACTTTATAAGTATTTTATTAGTTTTTTTTTAAATTTTTAATTATTTGAATTGTTTGAAATTATATTGCGTAGGTGATTGATTTTTTTTTTGGCTCTGAGTTGCTGGTGTGCCGGTGCAGAAATATAGGTAATAGTGGCCTTTGGACAAGAAGTAAACTCAGTTTTTTTTTTATAGGAGAGGGGGCAAACGAGCATACGGCTCACCTGATGGTGAGTTTTTCTGAAAGAGCGTTTTTGATGGTAAGTGGTTGCTGTGACCCATAAATATCTACATCTATCCTCGATTACGAATCAAAATGCAAATGCGTTGTCACTCGTGAGGACTAAGATGGAATGCCTCGTTTCCAGTAAAAAGGTTCTCTACACTCATCATTCAAAACACAGCAGCGTTAAACTGCTATTTTACGCTGGTATTCTGTGAGAGCGTGGCCATTCCCCGGTCGAGGCGACCCATTCGTGCTACAACTATACTACTAATATAGCTGTAGCATGGCTCTACCACGTAACCGGGTTAGGGTTACCGACATGCGACATGTTACGTTGACTGCCGACCGAAGTTATTCCTGTAGTCGTTTCAGTAAACGAGTTAACCCAGATAGCTTCTTGGTTCATTTGAGGCTTCTGTGTCCCTAAAGGTCCGCCTGAGCACAAATGTAGAAAGCGGTGCTCTTCGTCGATAACGCTCGCATCGTCCGCCAATTTCTTTCCCATTCTCTCTAACCCTCGACTTCCGTCTGGTTGGGTTTTTATTTATTTTACTTTATATATAACTAGCTGTCAAGACAGAAGTCGTTCTGTCCTGCTTTTTGAATAGAGAATCGCAAATAAGTACACGATTCATTAGGTTTCTTTCAGTGAGCTCGTGTGGTACCCAAATATCGAGCTTTTTTGTATGGCCAGACTTTTTCAAATGGGTCAAAACTGTTTTGTGGTCAATCCTCAATTCCTCGGCTATGTCGTAACTACTAATGTGCCGATCTTACTTCACTTTTAACAGATGAGGGGGACAAGATTGACCTGCATCTTTGACATCAAAATTCTCGGACTAAAAACGTTTGAACCAACATTGTGCTATTCGTACTGACACTGCATTAGGACTATAAACGTCAAAATTTTTTTCGCGGCTTGAGTCGCGTTTTTTTATTTATTCTAATAGAGCTTCAGAATCTATCGAATTTCTTCTTTAGATTCACTCATTTTTAACGGAAAGAAAAACAATTGAAAATGGCGGAAGTGTTTTTATTTTTACTATTTTTTTTCTCAATGTCCTATATGTATTGATATTAAACTGTACAATCAAAGAAATTTTTCTTCAATTTTTTACAAACAAAATACGACGAAACTTTTTCCCAGACCTATTATAAGAAGCTTGCTTTTGTATACTCTAAGTTATATAATATAAATAGTAAGTACCTAGGTAGTAAGTAGTAACGGTCATGTAATAGCGGCGTAAGAGAGTCCACTAATCTATATCATTCCGTGGGTGTCATACTCGTAAAAGGCGACAGAGGGAAATAAAACAGGAGATTGGCAGTGTCATCTTCTTGATTACAATACAATATAAGAAAAAGCTGTGGTTGCCAACCCGTCTGCCAAGCGTGGCATCTGTGGTAAATATACCCATCATTATTCAGCAGTGGACTTTTGATAGAAGAATTTGAAAATAAACACTAAATATTTTTATTATTCTATTTACATATTTATTATTTCTGTCTCTGTCACATTATTCATATTGGTTTATTACGACAATTTATTCTCTTTAGATTCTCGCATTGTCTGCAGTCTTGGTCAATTCAAAGTAAGTTGTTGGCCGTGACCTTATAGTATTTATAAGCAAGCTATGCTTATTTATACTCTAAGGCCGTGTCCGACACAAGAATTAACTAAATATTACCTAAATAACTTAAAAAAAAAAAACTTTACTTTACTTTAATCTAATTGATGTGTGTGGCTATAATGGTGATATTAAAATAACAAAAAAAAAACATTGAGTAAAAAGACAAGTAGTACAGAAATAAAAGTAAAGCTAATGCAAATATAATCTTAAATACCAGCGTAAGTTTTAGATTAATATAGTGCTAACTGTGCTAATATCTTGCCAGACGCAACGTCTGTAGGTGCGAGAAGTTTAATACATCCGACAAGACATCCTTTTGAAACTGACTTATATTCATTCCAGTATGATTTAGAAGATTTAATATTTTTTACTGCGGTTGCCAACCCGCCTGCCAATCATGGCAATTATGACAAAAATCCTCTTTGCGAGGCAATCTTTAGGGACAGCTATGTTCAAAAGTGGACTTTGGGCTGTAAATGAAGATGATGATACTTACTACATACATACATACGTCTACTATAAACCGTGATTATTATCACACTGTCTATCGCGGTTTATAATTTGACTGTACTTAAACAGTCTAATGGCCGACAGACATGGTCAGTTAAACTGATCAGTTGAACTGACGTATATCCAAAAAAAGACCGTAAACGTGAATTCTTAATTTGAAATTTATTAACTTGCGGCAAACAACGGATTTTTCTGGGCGCACGGTCAGTTAAATTGATCAGTTGTGCTGACGTACATCCAAAACTAACCGTGACTGTGAAATCTTAAGTTGAAATTTGAAGTTAAGAATCTTTTTTACCCCTGAGGACCAAGATGAAATGCCTCGTTTCCAGTAAAAACGGTCTCTAGTTTTTACATTTACCATACTAAACCCTGCAGCATTAAAACGCTGAGAACAGCTAATGAGTGTCATACTGTCGGATTGCATAGAATAGAAAGAGATGAGCGATGACACGATGCTTGTAACTTACCTATTACAAAACAAAACAATTAATTTCTTGAAAATAAGTTTAGTAATCTCTATATATAAAATCAATTACTGTCCGTTGGTCTCATAAAATTAAAAAGTGGCTAGACCGATTTTGAAGAAATTTTTGTGTGAGTTTGAATGGGTCCTTAGATTGTTTAGATTCACATTTAGACCCAATACGTGGCGCTGTTGTTGAGATCCGTAAATCACACGTGCAGAGCCGGGGCGGATCGCTAGTCGAAAATAAAAACAACAACAATCTGTATTCAAATATGATACTTACGTTATTAAGTGGCGAAGCTTGCGAAGTCACTTATTGATTTCACGATGTCTGTCCGTCTGTCCGTCTGTCCCACGATTATCTCGAGAACGGTTTCTAATTTTCAAATTCTGTTTTCAGCAATCGATTACTGATCACCCAGGCATCTGAACCTCCTATTTTGAAACTGATTGCTCAACGGCAACCATTAGAAACCGCTACAAAACTGATTGCTTCGCCACTTTGCTATGCTGTTAGCTTGCTAGGTTTATTGTTATTAATTTTATCAATGTACATTGATAAGTTATATAGATATTTTTATTGGTAGGGTTTTTTCAGATAGATACAAATATAAATTTAAGATATACTTAATATATTTTTCACTGTCATAATCAACGGATTAGTAAGCTAAAGTGGCAATGGGCCGGCCATATAGCTCGAAGAACCGACAACCGATGGGGAAAAAAGGTTCTCGAGTGGCGGCCTCGTACCGGCGGACAAAGTATAGGGCGTCCCCCCACTAGATGGAGTGACGACCTGGTAAGATATGCAAGAAGTCGATGAATACTGGTGGCACAGGACCGTGCTTTGTGACATTCTTTGGGGGAGGCCTATGTGGACTTGTGAAGGACTGTAATGATGATGATGATGATGATGTCATAATTTGGCTAAAATTTGTTTCAAAAAATCTTCTTGAGATTTGTCAGCGCTTTAAGCTGACATATGAGCCGGTTGAGCCGACCCATTCGTGCTTCAACTAACATTTAGCTGCAGCATGGCTCTTTCATGTATTAAATAAATCTAATATATAAAAAATAATTTTTGTTTGTTCACATTTTATACGCTGCCATACCGTTCATCAGATTGCGCTAAAACTTTGTCAACTTATTGCTTGCACTTGTGAGAAGGTTATAGGCATATTACAACTAACTTACAATGGGTGGCGCGCGTATCGTACCGTCAAATTTATTTGAAATTTATAATATATCATTCAATTTCAATGAATGTATTATCAAACCTAATTAAACAATATACCTATTCCAAATTTAAAACGATATTTCTACAATTATTTTTTCTGTAGCAGCAACGCGCCAGGTAGGTACTAGCTAGTAAAAAATAAAATAAGTTGCGTAAATAAACCAAACTTTGAGGAATATGATTACTTTATTATATGTAAGTATAACTTAAATACTTATAAATATAATATCACATGTCAATAACCATTATATACATTTTACTCTTGACTCAACAATTTCCAAATGTCTATGTCGCAGCCAACTAGCTTAATTAGCCTTTCAGTTAACAGCCTAGCCTTTTGCCGTTTAACTAATGGCCTGAATTATATTCAGCCTATGCGTTTCAGCCGATGCGTCTAATACAAATTTCCATGTCTGATTATGCACTATGTGCTATATAATTTTACGCGGCTTTAGGGTGGCCAAGGGTCACCCCAGCGGCACCTTAACCTACTGTCGCTGATATTACGAGATAGTTACAATGTTGTATTAGACGAATCGACTAAATATCAGTCAGGCCGCAAGTTGAACGGCGCCCTTTTGTAAAAAGGCTAGGCTGTTAACTGAAAGGCTAATAAAGGTAGTTGCCACAGCTGCGACATCTACATCGCGTACCACTTACTACCTAAGACTGTTAATGTATTTCATTAGATTGAACACCACTATGACGCCCATGATATCTGTGTAACCTTCGTGTGTTGTGCTCGTTGTCGAGTTGCAGAGGTCCTGGCGGCAGTAGCAATGTCTGCAAAATGAAAATCAATAAAAAAAATTAAAAAATATGTCGTGTTGTTGTCTACTAGGCCGATATTAACTACGGCGATAACTTTCCAATATTATCGAATATGTCTGTGTTTATACCAGCGTAAAATAGCAGCTTAATGCTGCTGTGTTTCCTTCGACCCTTTTTACTGCAAATAAGGCATTCTATCTTAGACCTCACGGCTGACAACGCATCTGCATTTTAATTCGCAAACGAAGATAGATGTAGATGTCTATGGGCCACAGTAACCACTTACCATCAGGTGGACTGTGTGCTCGTTTGTCACCCTTATTCTATAAAACAATCTGTTGAGTGCTCAGGGACATTGTTGTAGTGTTGCAAGCTCTATTATAAAGTACAAACACATGTATTCACGTGTGTGATTATTTTTGTATACTACCAGCTATTCGTGAAATCAAAACAGTGACTTTGGTCAAAACACAATTAAAATTATTATTTCTCATTTCTTCTTTTCTCCTCTTTTTCTTATATGTTTAAAATAGCTAACTAAAAATACAAAAATATCACTATTTCTCTGTCTGTTATAATAGCTGCATAATATAATGTAATTATTATATCTTTTATATGTTTTATACTTATTTATTTTGTATATTCTGTGTATAATATGTTCATGAGTATAACATAAGTAAATGTATGATCGAATATATTTACGTATGTGCAGACATAGTTATGCATGTTTATGATTTTATGTGTTACATAATATCAAAATACACACCTAATTATTTTAGTTTTATCATATATTTTTGAATGTGTAGAACAGGTAAATGAAATTGTATACTTGGGGAGTGCTTTTAGCCGGGATGGAAGATGTGATTTAGATGTGGACAGGCGTGTCGCTGCCGGGAACAAAGTCAATGGTGCCCTGACTGCGTTAGTCAAAAGGCAAGGCGTAGTGAAGAGTACACGCCTTGCAATACATAACGCAGTGTTGGTACCGACTTTGTTATATGGCAGCGAAACCTAGGTATGCCAGAAGAAGCATAAAAGTAAGTTGAATGCAGTGGAGATGCGATCTCTTCGTAAAATGTGCGGCGTTACTATGGCCGACCGAAAGCGAAACGAAGAGATTCGCAATATGGCAGGTTTGAAAGATGACCTTATCACAAAAATTGATAAGGGCGTGCTTCGGTGGTTTGGGCACGTTGAGCGAATGAGTGAAGACCGAATGGTGAAGAAAATATATAGCGCGAAAGTTAATATTAAAAGGTGTCGAGGTAGACTGAGACTAACTTTCGAAGACCATGTGAGCAAATTGCTCGAAGAGGGTAGGGTCAAGAGTACTCGGATACCTAGACGTGCATGCATGAAGAAGATAATGAATCTGAAAGAAGCGAAAGAGGTTTGTAAGGATCGTGACACTTGGCGATCTGTTCTCTCTGGCTACCCCGTTAGGGATTGTGCGTGAAGATAAGTAAGTAAGTAAGTAAGTATATATTTTTGTAACTGTCCTACAAACTCGTATCATAATGTGCCCTTTCCATTATTTGTATGTAGGTAAATGAATTTTTAAATATATAAATTAATAATGCATATTATATGCAAAACAATGATTTTATTGATATATGTATTAAAAAAATAATTATCCCGTCAACCACTTCCAAGAACCTTTAAAATGCTTACTTAGGATTTGGAATTGATCCACGAAAATAGTTTAATGAATGGTAGATTTGACGCTACGCCACCATAATAGTATTTTTATTGACCATAGCTATCATAGAATGTTTTTAAGTCTAGATACGAAAATCTAGTCTTAAAAACTGTAATCGAGTTTTTGTACAAATTCTGAAGCGTCTTAGTAAAGATGACAGTACGCACACGTCACTTTTCAAAATTACTAGTCCAAAATATCCCAAGACTGCCAGGCAGCCATGGGAGATCTAAGGACAGTAGCAGGACACTTGAGGCTAGAGAAGTATTAAAGCAGGTCTGCTGTCTTTTGTTGATCATGTTATTTGATTATAAAGGTTTAAAAACCAAATAATCACGAATAATAGAATAAAAATAACTGAGTGTATATTGACGCCTTAAGCGAAACTCTACACCTTATCATCCCGTGTGTCATGAGAGCCGCCAGTGGGAAATGAACAGGAGTCAGGCAGCAACATCTTGCTTATAACAACTCATAATGGTGAAAAACTGCGTTGCCAACCCGCTTGCCAAGCTTGGCAACTACGCCGAATATTCCCCTATGGTGCAATCTATGGGGACTATGCGGGAGGTCTATGTTCAATAGTGGACTTTTGGTCGTTATAAAAGAATGAATTATTAATAATAATAAATACAAGATTTTGTAATTTTGAATTGCAATTTTAAGTGCTGAAGGAAAACATCGTGACGAAACACGCATGTCTGATAAATAAGAAAAAAATATTTCGAAGACATGTGAAGTTCGCCAAGACGCATTGGGGCAGCACGACGGCAATTTCCTTGCCCTAAAACCCTCTGAGAAATGAGAGGAGGCCTGTGCCCAGCCGTGGGACGTATGTATATAGGCTGTAATTTAGAACTTTTCCTGAACAAGGTTTTATATACCCCATAATTGCACATAGCAAACACGGTTAACATGCATTTCACGATTATTTTTGTAATGTACATATACATATCTGAAACAAAGCCTCTCAAGATTCTCTGCTTTACTCTTTTAGAAAACCTGTTCGAAGAATCTTATAATTTTTGCCGGTAGTTTCGCACTTTTGTTTTCAACCTTAACCTTTAGATCTGAGCAGTGAGTCAAGTTTTTATGTTGGGAAATAAAATTCCTATATAATTATAATTTGAGCCTTCTAGATTTAAGATTGAAACTTTAGTCGAGAGCAATTAATTGTTATAAATTTAGTACAACTGACGGCTGATAGTTCCATGTGAAGATATTGTTCCTTATAGTATCTTCACATGGAGTTGTTACTTTTAAATAAGCACATTATAAAAAAAATAACTATATAATGATTTCTTATATTTCGCGAACACTACACATTTAAATAAAACTAATTTTACGGATTTTATCGCGTATATTAACCTATTTTATATTCCCGACGTTTCGGGCACTTTTCAGCACTCATGGTCACGGTGGGGGGGGGGGGGGGCTGAGGTGTATGACGTCCCAATGTCACAGTTAACCACGGCTACCTTCAGATTAAAAATCATTAATTTTTGTTCCGATCTACGCAGTATGAACTTACAGTATCATGAAGTCTTGCAGTTGTATGCTTGGGTTGGGATTTAATTTTATTAATTATGGGATCCCAAGCAGATGGTAGCACCCAGCCATCTTCTCTATTGAAATTAGGATGTTTTTTAATTTCAATAGCCTCACGAATCATCCTGGGGAGGAATCGGTGTTCTTTAGCGAGGATTTGTAGTCTATCAAATCTAATTTAGTGACGGGGGCGATCCTGTACGTGTTCACAGACTGCAGACTTCGAAACGTCGGGAATATAAAATAAGTTAATATACGCGATAAAATCCGTAAAATTAGTTTTATTTAAAAATAACTATACTTAAACAACCATACCAATTCCGTTCCAAGGGTACTGTTTATCTAAAAATATTTAGCATGCTTGCAAAACACAACCTGCTAGTTGTTGCCCTCTCTCCCTTGTTGTCGATGCTAGTACACCCCTCTTCATAGGGTTCTAATATTTCCGTTTTAGGGGACCATTTTCCGTTCTTGTATTCTTGGTACGCGTGTGTTTGAGGCGCGCAGTCTCGCTCAACTCCGGTTATTCTAACTGAAATTTAAACATTACTTGCTATTATCATATACACCAGGACAAAGAACTTATCGAAACGACACTCGTGTTGATCTTGGGTGTCGTAAGAGTATATGACAGTGGTGTCGATTAAAACTTATTATTTTACGGGGCGATTGACTAGAAACTTACTAACGGTACTCTGTAAATAAAATAAACACATTCTTCGGCATTTGGCCGAAATCGGTTTAAATCCATCGACTTCCTGTATGTGTTACCAGGTTGTCACTTCTTCGAGCTTATAGACAGCCCATTGCCACTTCAGCTTACCTTTTATTTGTATTATCCACAAATAAAAAGTAACATTCTCATTTTGCTAATTTGTTACATTTTAATCTTAATTCTATTAGAATAGAAAATTTAATTAAATTAGCTCTTCTTAATTAAGGAGTCTTATGAATAAAATTAATAATTTTACTTGGCAGAGCCATGCTGCAGTTATATTAGTAGTATAGTTGTAGCACGAATGGGTCGACTCGACCGGGGAAGGACCACGCTCTCACAGAATACCAGCGTCAAATAGCAGCTACATGCTGCTGTGTTTCGTATGGTGAGTGTGGTGAATCGGAGACCCTTTTTATTGGAAAAGAGGCATTCTATTTTAGTCCTCACGGGTGACAATGCATCTGCATTTTGATTCGCAAACGAGGATAAATGTAGATGTCTATGGGCCACAGCAATCACTTACCATCAGGTGGACTGTGTGCTCGTTTGTCTCCCTATCGTATAAAAAAATGAATAAAATGTGTCTAATAAGACATATACACTAAAACAAAAAAGATATAAAGTTTGAATTCTTCTAACAAACATCAGTAACTAATGGTAACTTTACTTTCCAAAACAATCACTTTTTAAATTTGTGTGAAAGATAACGTGTGTTTTAAGTACATATCAGGTGTTTTTTTTCTGTACTGGTATTTAAAATTTTCTACGAAAATAAACCGAAACGCGAGGCGAAAATATACCGTAGTTCGTAAAAACTTCGGCCGAATTTTGGATTTTTACCGAATGTTCAGCCGTAGTTCGTATTCGGTTCAAACCACATCTGGCCCATCACTGCTATATACCTACCATATATATGCACTTTATAAAATGAAGTGTTCAGCATTGCAATGCCGCATTAAATTTTACTTAGTTTTCTCCTTACCTCCATTTTGTACGTCAAGATAGAAGTCCTGCTTCATGCACATAGTAGAGTGAGGACACTCTACTATAAAATTATCCGAGTAGTCGAAGTGAACGCAAAGACGCTTCGCAGTGTTGTAGTTTTCTCCCGACGGTGGGTTTATGAGGCACTTATAGCACTGTAGAGAAGATACTCCTGGAATATGTAAAATAAGGTTTTAAAATATCATCGTTATTAACAATGAAACAAACGCTAACTTATATAATATACTTTAATTAAAAGAATTATGTTACAAGTAATTGTAGAATTGAGATCTACTTATTTATTTTTAATACAAAATTTACGAAAATGCTATTATTTTAGCTCGTTTACTTATATTATCTGAACAATCTTCACTTCAAACAAAATAACTAACAAGTGGTAAATTTAAAATTTTGTACAAACGACTTCAATATGAATATAATTTATTGTTAATTTTTTTTAAATTAACAATAAACCCTCTCGACCAATTTCGATAAAATTTAAATGGGACCACCTTGGAAGTATTATACCCTTTGAAACAAAAAAAGAATTTTCCAAATCGGTTCAGGAGTCTTTGAGTAATCGGTGAACATACATAAAAAAAAAGATTCCGACGAATTGAGAACTTCCTAAATCGCTAAATCGATAAACCTAAGCTAAATCTTGTATAAAAATCATATATAATTTAAGCTTTTAAAGAGTAAGAAAATTAAGCTTTTAAAAAACCGTCTCAAAGAACTTAAAAAATTATGATCATAGAAACGTGATTTAGAATTATTCAACCATATTTAGGGTTTGATCATTTTCTAATAGATTATATGATACTGACTAAATTTATATTTGACCACCCGTAAAATACGTTTTTTCTAACTAATAAAACATTTTTGAAATGGAACAACGTGGTAAAGAATAATCGCTGTACATAATAAAATATTCCGACGAATTAAGGACCAACTCATTCACGAAATGAGTATATATATGATAAAAGTGAGTCCTTTAGAAAGCAAGCTTTAGTCACAGAATAAAGACACAGTATAGATTTCTTTACTCATGAGCTTTAGTGATTGCAGTACGACAGACTGAAATAATGGTAAGGGTTAGACGTCTTCGTAGCGCAGTAGGTAGGTAGTTTCTTTAGAGTCGTTGTGATTTGAAACTCAATGAAAGGAAAAAGCGATCTTTATATATAAAAATTACGTGTCACATTGTTCGTCCGCGATGAACTCCCAAACTACAGAACTGATTTCAATTAAATTTCGCACACTGTGTGAGATTGAGAGATACTACTACACTTGAGAGATAGGATACTTTTTATCCCGATAAGTGACGTTCAATATTTTTGCGAATTTAAGGATTTTTTATAGGAAGGGTCGTCGAAAAGAGCAGAATAACGTCTACCTGGCCAGCTAGTATTATGTATATTTTATATTTCATTTAATTTGAAGGTTTCACTTGTACCGCATGTGAACTGTACACATGTTTTTTTTTTGGAGTCATAATTCTCTTTTGGCTCTAACGTCATCGTCATAACAGCGTCGTCGTTGTTACAAAATATTTTTCATTTTTATTGAGGCGTTCGTCCGTATAGTGGCGCTTCAATGGTTACATCGATGTTAGCTATTTATTCTGTAATCGACTGCATGTTTATAATTACATTTCATTAATTCATTCATAACAGCTTATCAAAATTCACTGCTGAAAAAGTTCTTCCTTTTATAATACATCTAATGAGGGTATATATGCCATTGTTGCTTGCTCGGCAGGCAGGCGTATTGGCAACCGAAGTTGTTCATTCTGCAGTTTTTAGGTAGACGCTGCTGCCCATCTTCTGGTTTGTTTCCCTCTGTCGCCTCTTACGACATCCACAGAAGGTTTAAGGGATACTTGCATCGCCACTACACGAAAATTATTAATAACTAGCTGACTAGCTGATACCGGCGAATTCATTCGCGTTGCTTGATATATTAACAAAGTTTTCGTATGTGCGAAGGAAAAAACATCAAAAAGATCGCAAGCAAAAATATACTTTGCTTACAAAATTTCTTTGTAAACGATGTTATTTGTCGCTCCGTTTGTAGCTTTATCGGGGTTAGGCGAGAGCAAGCGACGTACAGTTGACCGTGTGAAAAATAACTTTATGTTAAATGAAGATATCGCAATATTTTTTTAGATTAGGGCCAAGTGTCTAAGAAATAAAACTTTAGGAAACCTAATTGAAATCTATCCAGTAGTATTTCCCTAGACTAAAATGATTTGAATGTATTCTTGTAAATTTTATGATCCTTTATAATACCAATATCGGGCAAATGTCTTCCCAAACCAATAGATAAATATTTTGTCCCTCCCCTCGTAACTATCTTGTGGAATAAAAATTGTGACGAACTATGGCCAAGGACGTATGTGACATTATAACTACCTGATTACACCTAAAAATGTATGTACCGTTTAGGTCTTATCGAAACGAAATTCACAATGACTCACACAGATTCTAGAAGAAGTTTATAAAATAGGCGTCAATAGCATAATGGTTAGGAAGCAAACTGTAACCAGCTGAGATTTAAATAAATAGATATTTATATATAAATAGGTATCACTTCATGTTAAAGAATATCCCAAATATTCTATTTTAAATTATTGAATTCTTAAAAAAAATTCCGCCCACTATAAATTATGTTGATGTGTTCACTTAAGTGATGAATTAAGCGAAAATATGATATGAAGACAAGTTAATAAGTTCGAACAATATAATTATGTTGCGTTATCTGAAATACTTTACTGTACTTTTTTAGTATATAGTAGTATATTTTAAAAATGAAACTAAGAAGTGAGAGTAAGGAATTAGATTCCAATCAAATAATACCCTTATTGAGTTTTTGCATTTAATCGATAGAAAGTTTTTTATTTCTTACATTACGTTTTTTCTTCACGCCTTTCCTATTTCATCGCTTAATGTTTGTTTTACATATATTTCGGTAATAGAACAGGAGATCCCACTTCTAATGTCGGAAATACATCAGGAAAGCTTAGTTATTAAAAATAATAAAAGTGTGAGAGCGTACGTTCAACTTGCTCTCTTGCTTACGCAATTACTCATTATCAGTAATAAGACAGCGTAACGCACTACACATTCAGTATAGAGCAATTACAGTTCGACCACACCGTAACACGTCCCCGCCACAATCACACATCATTGCAACGTGAGGGACGTAATTACATGATAACACCAAAGTATGCAAACCAACAGCAACACTACACTACTTATCTCAGTGTAAAACAGGGCAGCCTCTCAACAACATCATCCTTGCCTGCACCAGAAGAATTACAACAACGAACAGAACCACGACACTATCTTAGCACTATAGAACTACTTCACTCGTAGAATAACTCAAATGGAATCTCTCGCGCACGGTGCCTACAGTGAAATTTATACTGCACAAACAAGTGGGGTTTCTCGATATACTCTCAATTCCACCTAGCTACCATCGATATGACGCTCCACTAGAGTGACGCAATCTCTCGCTCACTCGATTCAATATTTCAATTAAACAAAAATTAAATATTTTATCGACCCGCCGACATATATATGTTTTTTTTTATATTTAAATACCTACATACATTAAAGTCTCGTCAAGGAATAAGATGTACAATGGTGTTACGAACTGTAAATTGAATTAAAACAAATAGATGGAGTTAGTTTTGATCTTTGCTAAGTTCATTGTATTGTACCTACTTATCTTCAGGTTGCTGTGAATCATGGCGCATATTTTTGGCTCCCACACAGGTTAGAAACGTACGAGTCGGTGACGAATATTCACCTTATTTTGAAACCTTGTCTCTCTCGGCCAAAGCTCAAATGGATTAACATGTCTCATAAAATGTGTCGCGTAAAATGTTTCAAGCAATTGTTATTTATTAATTAATTTTTAACCTTTATTACATCCTCTATAAAAAAGGATACAAACCTCTACATGTCAACCCATAAAGTGGTGCGAATTTGGCGTAATTGGTTAATTATTTTCTAATATTATACCCCATTTTCTTTCTTTCTACTATGCATAAAAGTCATACTAGTATTATTTATTACTTAATAGTGGCTATTACTTAAGTATACCTTAATATTAAAAAAAGGCATTGTGAGTGCGTGAGTAGCGTAAAACATACTTTCATATTGGCTCGATGCTTATATATCTTAAATTTTTGATAATCATCTTTATGATTTCATTTGAAAAAAAAAATTAATAAAAAATAACATTTTACTTAAAATACAGTCTGAAGTCGATCCTAAGAACCCTGACTTTAGAATGTGAAATAATTTTATTCTTTTCAAGTTTTTGAAGTCGGCTTTTACTTTTATCAAAAGTTATTTTCTTACAATCAAACTCTAATGCTGTTCTGCTGAAGATTGTTAGATGTAATTATATGTTTTTTAATTATGTATTGCTTATTTTGTGGTCATCAAATGATCCCCAGTGTGTATCATTTTCTCACAAAATTCAAACTGTTTTAAATATAAATAAATTCGTTTTGTTGTTACCGGAAAAATAAACTTTATTTCACTAAATCTAAACGTGTTTAGCTTATATTATTTTGTTCAAATATGAGCAGCTTGGAAACGCTATTTGTAGTTAGAAATATAACCCATTTATATCCGAATTCAAAAAAATATTAGTTTAACAATTCGACTGTTCTTTTTATCTTACCAATCTTAATAATTCTTTTTTTATTGGAAAGTAAACTGCAGATGTAATCAGATATATATTTGGAGAAAAAATTCCACCCCTGAGTATGGCAAAATCCCCTATTTTTCAATCCTGAGGATTAACTACCGTCGTAACGTACCGATTGAATACCGTCTGAATATTTAAATGAAGTGTTTAATTTAATTATATAGTCGATATTGTGATTGTCATATTACTTAGTCCACTCAAAAGCCGAAAGAACACTTCAAAGAACCAAAAAGAATAAAATACCTTCAAATTCTGAAGTAGGGGCTTTATTTCTTCAATAAAGGAGTCGCGGCACGTAAGTCTAGCGCTGAACGAAACGTGGAGGGGACGCGCACGAATTGAATTGCACGAATGCGACTGGAGAGCCAATCAGCGCGTGTGAACGATAGGCACTAGCCAATCAGCGTGACTTTTGTGGAATAAGCCAATCAGCGCGACTTATGGCGC